AAAAAAAAAAAAAAAAAAAAAAAATAAACATTTAAAAAAAATTTAACCTGACAATTTCTAGTACAAAAACTATTTCACATTACCTTGATTTGCACTGTTCAAAGATGACAGCTAAAGTTGCAAAGTCATTAAATCCTCCAGCTTTAGCTGCCAATTCTCGATGTCTTTGTTCTGCTTCCTTCTGGTACTCTGGATCAACTAAAATGACAAGTTGAGAGGCAATTTAGTTATACTTTACATCAAATGCCTACATTCATTTTGTTTATTCAAGGTCAGTAGAATCTGCCTCACCATCTGCAGTGGAATAAGACAGAACTATATTAATTCTTGGGGAAGGACTCTATTTACTTCCATTACTTCTTTTCTTCTTTTTTAAAAAATTTTTTAAAAATGTTTGTTTATTTTTGCAAAAGAGAGAGTGTGAGTGGGGGAGGGGCAGAGAGAGATGGAGACCAAACTCCAAAGCAGGTTCCAGTCTGAGCTGTCAGCACAGAGCCCAACTCGAGGCTCAAACCCACAAGCCTTGAGATCATGACCTGAGTTGAAGTCAGATGCTTAACTGACTGAGCCACCCACTCTTCTTGTTTATTTTATTTATTTTGAGAAAGAGCACGAACGTGCACACACAAATTTGTGCACACACGAGTGGGGGAGGGGCAGAGAGAGAAGGAGAGGATCTTAAGCAGGCTCTGCATTGTCAGCATGGAGCCCGACTTGGGGCTGGAACTTAAGAACCATGAGATCATGACTTGAGCCGAAACCAAAGGTCAGACGCTTAACTGACTGAGCCACCCAGGAACCCCACTCCTTTCCTTCTTTTAACCATACTTCAGAGATTTAACCAGAACAGTAACATTAATTCTCTCAATACATTTGCCTTTAAAATAGTATTTAGCATTTATTTTTTAAGTTCAGTTTGATCATAAGAGTAACCCATGTTCATGGTAAAAAAATTATGTAAAAGTTCAACATTCCCCACTTTTGTCACATTACCCATAAACCAATCCTCATGGCTAACCACTGTTATGAATGTGTGTCCTTCAAGATATTTTCTTTCTTTTTTTTTTTTTTTTTTTTTTTTTTTTTTTTTTTTTTTTTAATATTTATTGATTTTGGGGAGAGTGCAAGTGGGAGACGGGCAGAGAGAAGGGGACAGAGGATCCAAAGCCAGCTCTGCACTGACAGGCTGACAGCAGAGAGCCCGATGTGGGGCTCGAACTCATGAACCCTGAGATCATGACCTGAGCTGAAGTTAGACGCTCAACCGACTGAGCCACCCAGGTGTCCTGTTCAAGTTATTTTCTATATGTATACCAGCCAATGAATACAGTGGTTTATTTTTACATAAATCCATTATATGTTTTGAAACTTCATTTAATAATGGGCTTCATGTCAGTACAAGTAGAATTATTCATTCTCAAAATAGCTTCATTGTACTCCCCAGGGATATAAGGAACATTTGAGGAACACAATTTAACCAGTCCCTATTTATCCAGTTCCTATTTATGGGCAATTAGACCATCATATAAGCAGAACTGAACTACTACTAGCCTTTTGTTTTTTTTAACTTTATATTGAAGTAAAACATGCATGCAGAAAACTACCAGATCACAACTGTACAGCTCGATGTTAATAAACATAATATACCAATGTACCCAATACCCAAATCAATAAACAGAATATTACTAACATCCAGAAGCCCTCTTTTTGCTCTCCTTCCAATAACTACCTATTCTCTTCCACAAACCATGTTCTGACTTCTGACCCCACAGAAGGCTTTTGTATAAATTTTGTATAAATGTACTTCATGTGTCTGATTTCTTTTGCTCAACATTTGTTTTTGAGATTTATCTCTTACTGACATTGACCCTATCCCACTCAGGATTGATATACTCTCTGATTGCCCAAGTTCCCTACATACCACTTTGCCCAAGCTAAATTTCTTTCAGAGTACCACTTTTTTTTTTTTTTTTTTTTTTTTTTTTTTTTTTTTCAAAATTTCCTAGGGCTCCTTCATTCATCGTACCACATCGTACTGCGGTTTGTTCTCCTTCAGTAAACCCATCACAACTAGATTTAGCATAGGCACCATGTTCCCTGGTATTAGAGAGAAGTACTTATATAGACTATGAAGTGAATCTGCAAAGCAGCAGACCCTGGTCTTAGGAGGAAAGGAATCTGATTAAAGAAAACACCCATGAAGATAAAAAGTCTTTCATCCCAGGCTTTAAGTAGCTTCGACCTTTGTTACCTAGGTGACAACTAAAGGAAGCAGTTAGAAACAAGAGGAGAGAGAATATGATTACGGGCCATACAAACAGCCCTGTCAAGGTGAAAATACAGTTCCCATCTCCTGAACCACTCAGGGAAATTGACTTTTAAGCCAAAACATTTAATTTCAAGCACTGAATCACCACTGCCCTAAAGATATTATGACAAAAGTCAAATTGCACTAGACTCAAGCATCACCCTGACCTGGCTCCCAACACTAGGAGACAAGCCTATCTATCAGACAGGAGCTCCTGGATCAATGAATTGTGTTTCCTGCTATAGAATTGTAGAGTGCCAGTTGCCTTGGACCCCTGGGGTATGAACCTTCAGAGACACTTCCTACCTGGGCTCAGTTCTTCCTTTCTCTGCCTCTAGCTGACCATTCAATTTGGCTGTAATACCTACTAGCACAATTTACACAGGTGGCTTACTATCTCTTATTAAAATGTCAGAATAACTGCAACAAATTTTAGTGTAGATTAAAATTTTAAGCTCAGCTCATATTCTGTGAAGATTAACTCTGTGTAGTTAATGTTGGATCCCTGCTGTTTAGAGCGGTGGCTTGCTCACTCACGTTTTTAAAAATGTAGAGAGCATATCACTTCCCTGGTTGTCCATCCCACATTGCTACCTTCTCTATGTCTCTGTCTCTTTCCTTCATTATTCTCAAAGTCAAGAGAATAGAAACATTTTTTTGTTCCTTTTCCCTGACTCTCCCCCCAAAATAGACTAATTAAAATTAAAACACGCAGAAGTCCCATAGTAAATTCCGGATATGTACAGGAAAGTCACAATCCATATCATACACAGTTCCTACAATCTCAGCAAGTTTATCCTCTAACTAAACAAAAGTTTGACTAGCCATCTTTATTTTCCAGTAGGCTTGTCACTGTCTTTAATTTATTATCTTTCCCCAGATGAAATTCTATTATCAGTTTTATCTCATGCAAATAGGCAAATATTACTGAGGGAAGAACTGTAAGAAGGTGAAGCAGCAAAACAAGGTTATATCAGCTGAACCTTTCCATTTGGGAAAATAATTTAATACTTTTCTATATAGCAATCAATCAGAAAGCAAAACTATTTCACAGAGGATATCAATAATAATAACAGTCCTCAGAGTTGAAGCAGAAGAATAAAACAATGAGTGTCCCATACACATAAAATACCCTTTATTTCTAAAAATATCACAGTTAAAATGAAAGATTTAGAACCTACCCAGTGTTGTTATTTTAAATTTGTTCCATTTTAAGGCAATGCCTTTAGGTGGTTTAAAAAAAAACCTAGAAAATATTTAACAGCCCTCACTCCATTGTCTGACTTCTAAAGTAGTCCCTATACTAGGAGACATTGTATGCAGTTCACTACAGCAAAAGAGAGATTACTAAAAATGTTGACAGTATGATCATTTTGATGTTTATAATCTCTGTTTAATGTTAGATCTGAGAATACTACCCAGTTTTACCAGTAAGGATACAGTAAACCAAATTAGATGATCTATAAAGACCCAAGCCAGAAAGTACTGCTTAACTTATAAAGACTACAAATGCAGCTGGAAAGCCAATACACGTTTTGGGTATAACAAGATCTCACCAAGTCACAATCTCAAAACCTGAAGCTACATTTTGCAGCAGCTAAAGTTCTTCATGATCCAGGTTTAAAAATTAGGTGTATATTTATATATAAGCCATAGTATCTAAGTATGAAGAAAAAACTGGTAGCAATTGTTGCCTCTAGGAATCAGACCTAAGGACATGTTTAAGAGAGAAGAACTTACTTTTCATTTAATACTTTGTGTAGTGTTTGAATTTTTAACTATATACATGTATGGGGAATAGTATGAGGAGTTAGGTGAAACCTCTCTTCCAGATAGACATTTGTTACACTAGTCAAAATTACCAAAGACAATCATTCAAGGTCTCTGGAGATTGACTGAATCTATGGAATTCAGTAAGAACAGTAGGCAGCATCACATCTGAGTAGGAACTACACTCAACCCCCCATAGTTTTGTGTGTGGAAGAGGGCTTAGCAGCCTGAAAGCGGCACCCTTTTCCTCACCTCCAGCTCCTACTCTGTAAGGAGGATCAGGTGCAAATAGCTAATGAATGGGGGAACAGCTAATGACAGTGCATCACAGCTTTCCATTCCCTTACAGCTCTGTAACGCAGAAAAGCTGTCCTAGTGAGCACGACAGCTGAGTGGTAGCTCCCGCTACTCCCAGTTTTCTAGAGCTATTCCAGGTTTCTGGGTTGTTGGGGTTTTTTGGCAGCTGGTAAATATCTGCAGAGGCCATCTCACCAAGCTTTGTGCTGAAGAAGATGTATACTGGGCAGTGGTGGTAAGTGAAGCAACAGTTCCCACCACCTCTCACTTCAACCTTCTGCTCTATAGACAGGATCCTGGTGGGGCAGCCAGTGAATAGTAGATTCCCAATCTACTCCCAGCTCCTGCTCCATAGCACAGAGTTTCTTTCCAGGAGAGGATGGAGATAAGCACTGTTAAAAACCAGCAATAATTTGTCCCTGCCAAGGTGGATGGGTAACTTTATCTGGACTAGACTTTGGAGCAATTTATGCCCCAAGAACACTGTCAAAAACAACAGAGAAATCAGCAAGCAATCAGTGGAGACTAATAGCTTAATCTGTTACCATTTGAGGCAGACTAACAAAAAATTAGGCAGATAGGCCAAATCTTAACAGAAAAATCAGAGAACCTACTAAACCCATAGTTGTCCTGATATTCTAAAAGACTATGTAGATGCCCAAGGTTTTACCTTCTGAGAAGCAAAAGGAAAGGCAACATCTGCGCCTCTGGTCTATGGCTGAACACAGAAGAAACTCATTAACTCTCTGAACTATGAAAACAGTCTCCAGACCACACAACACAGATCCAAAAGTAAAGGGTGAAAACATCACTAGCTTAAGTC